GAAAACTAATTAAATTTATTGTTCTTTTAAAAGCCACAAAAATGCAAATTAAGATACTAGAACGTTTTTGAAAAAAATAAAAACATTCTGAATGTTTTTATTTTTATTTTTTTTTACTGTAGAACATATGAGGAGTGTTGATACATGAATATCTTGGCCTGCTGTTACAAGGGAGTGTTGCTACATTGACTATCTTACATCCTGCTTCTACAAGAGAATGTCGTTACATTGACTGAGGTTTGGTTTGAGTAGGCAATCTATCAAATAATAAAAAAATACTTTGTAAAGTTTTTAAGCTCTTTCTGGTCTTTAAAATGAATTTAAAAAAAAGAATTTAAATGTTACTTAAAGTTGATGTTTTACGGGAAAAATTAACTTGTCCAAGCAAGAGTACATATATGCAGCCCTCAGAATTAGAAAAAATGAGGTCAGTAGTTGAGGCAATAAACTACCGACCTTAAACTGTTAAAGGTCAGCAAAAAAAACTCTACGAAACAAAGTTACCATAAAACATACAGTGGCTTGCCATATTATTAGACTTAACAAGAAAAAAACAAAATTATGTCATAAATATAAGCTTCATGGACAATTTTTTATCGTTTAAGGCCGTTTTCCACAAGACGAAATATTTGCGCGAAACAAAATTTTTCATCGATAAGCATGCGCAAGTTAAACATTTTTGGCAATTATGCTGATTTTTTCATCGCTACTGCGTTTCGCTGCAGCAAAAAAAAAAAGTTGGATTCATTTCGACTTTTTGTGAATCGCCATAAGCGAAAACCAATCAAATTTTGAATATTATAACATGTGATGTCAACAGTAAAAAAAAGCAAAAACATGTTGTTTTTAAAGTAACAAAAAACAAAATTCTTAACCTGGCGTTCTTATTAATTTTATATGAACTCACTCTAAAAATTGGCAAGCATGAGTAAATTCAACAAACAAGGAGCAAGACTTATATAAAAAAATGACCACACTTATATATAAAACTAAATCAAGAATTTACAAATTTAAATTCACACTGTCAATTACAAAAATTACACTTCATAAGAATGTTTATCTTAAAGTGGCCACACAAAGATAAACCTTTTTGTGAAAAACCCTACATAGAGTTAAACATGCTGTTCGTTCTTACAGTAACAGTTTAATAGAAATGTTCATATCAGAGTTTAGCATTTATTTTCTTATACTTTCTTGAAAAAAAAACCTCATATTAAATGATTATATTACAAAATGATATTACATTTTACATATAAAGACAGAAATGTTAATATTAATTCCACGAAAGAAATTTCACATGCTTCAAAGTAGAAAGTATGCTAAAAAAGTAATTTTTAGTTAAACTTTTAGTTAAACATACAATGTAAACTTATTGCTGCCATTTTTATTGTTGACAACGAAAAAAAAGTAGCGCGAAAGAAAATGGAAATCAAAACAGCGTTTCGTTGAAGCGAAAAAATTTGCTTCGCGCGAATATTTTGTCTTGTGGAAAACAGCCTTTAAGGACCTTTATCCATAATTTCATTATGGATAGATAAAATCAATGTTTTTCAAAAGCAAAAACATATATTTAACAGATAATAATGGAAAATAATACATTTGTATTTTAAGAGTTAAGTAGATAATGTTTTGTATAATCTTCTTTTACTGCAATTGCGCTTTTATGTGCCATCACATATTCAAAATACGCTTTTCAACTGTTGTTGGCAGCTCTTCACTGTCGTTTCACACATATAATAGTCATTAGACATCGTCAGCATGAAGTTAAACCAAATTCTTCAAGGCATCTATGGACTGTATGTTGGGAAATATTGATTCCCTGTTCATTGACGATCTTGTTCAATAAGTTGACAGGGTGTTTTCTTTGTTGTAGACAAATATCCTTATTTTTTCTGTCAGACTTGGGTCAACACTTAGCCTGACAGAAAAAATAAAGAGATGTAAAGATGTCAAAATCAAGTTTTTGCTTTACTCTCTTCATCGCACTTGAAGAAATATTGAAAATATATTGTGACATGCTTGTATTTTTAATAATCCATCAATTTTACTTAGTTTTCGTGGAGAAAATATCACATGCCCTTCCAATTACTAAAAAAAAAAGGTTATATTTAATAAGATTGTCTACTTATCCATATAAAAAATTTTTAATTTTGTTTAAAAAATGTGAGTATTAAGAAAAACACACCTTTATGATCAATAAAATATAAAATGTTAGTCACAAATTAATCTTTATGAGGTATTCCAATAATTTTGTTTGCAGAAAAAAACACTTCACACAACCGTTTTTATGCAACATCCTATTCAAACTGACAATATTTAAAACTAACAATATGATAAGAATGATAATAAAATATATAAGCAATGTTGCTGTTTAGGAAATAGTATCTTTGGCAACATTGCCAAAGTAAAAAATAATGAAAGAGAAAAAGATTATGCAAGAAGCAAACATTTTTAATGACAAGGCACTGTAGAAATGAGGTCAGTGATTTTTGCCGACCTCAAGCACTTTAAGGTTGGCAGTTAGATTAGCATTGCTGAATGCTGAGCCTGATTCCAAAAACTGTAGAGTGATTTTTAACTTTTAAATTATTCTATAAACGGTATGAAAAGAGAATTAATTTTATAAAAAAAATATTTACTTTTAAATGACAAACATGTAAAAAAGTTTGTTACAAAAGTCTTAATGAAAAATATGTTAGATATAACCGCTTTTTACTATGAAATAAAATCAAATAAAATTAAAAACTACAAAAACTTAATCTTAAGCTAATTATTTTATAGAAATATTTAGTAA